TATTTTCCCATTCAACCATGACTGGTGGTCTTACGTAAGTGTGCGCGCGCCATACAAATTTAGAAAATTTCGAAAATCTCAACATCCAATCTGTCATTAGAAATACATATCATAAATCAACAAAACTACAATGGAATGCAACGCTGCCGGCGAAGAACGGCGGTGCAGCAATTCGAGCGTAAAGAGTAGAGCAAACAAATGCGATGATAAACTGATTTGCAGCACTATCATTTACCATAAGCCACATCTGTTTTTGGGCGCTTGCCACACATGGGTCACCATGCCACTTGCTTCATTAGTCACTTGACACTTGTAGGGCACTGTGGCGCCAGTGGGACTTGATGCCGGCATTTTTTTTCATATTTTCTTTAGTTATGTTTATTTTTGTTACTACTTTCTGCTTGCTGTTTTTAATTGCAGTATTTTTCAATGTAGCTTATGATTGTTTGTGTTTTAGTATTGCATTTAATAAAAAATGAAGTTCTGTCAGTTGAGGAAACGAGCGCTTATAGGTCTCATATGTCTTAGCTGTCATTTCTCTGGGCTGGTAAAGTACAGTGGTACTCAAATAGTTACTAGAGGAGTAACAATCTCTAACATGAAGTAAAAATACCAATATCACATTGAGCTTCGGTGAGCACGATAGGCCTAGGTTGCTGCGGTTGCTCGACAGTGTGGCGCACTTAGACCTACGGTACGCTCTGATACCGCATGGGGAGAATATATACCCGATACCTGATATTCTGCACATAAAGGTAAAATGGAGGCAGACATGCTTGCCAGGAAGGCGGCAGCAAAAACATAAAGAAGAGCTAGTGGAGAAGAAATAACTAGCAGAGAACAGCACTGGATCCAAGCCATAAGGCTGAGACAGGCAAAGAAGCTACTGTGAGAATACAGTATGAAACGATATCATAAACTTAATAGTCCCCCAAAATATATTTAAACTAAGAATTCTAACAGTTATCTTAACACAAACGCGGGATCTGGTCCAAATGTATGCCGGCTCTGTGATAAAGCTGCTGAGACTCCTGAGCACATACTTCTCGAATACGACGACGTCGAATATTACACCAGCAAGGAGTCTCAGCAGCATTATCTCTTCGAGACCACTACTACTTAATTTCTTTACTTTCGCGCTAAGGGTGTTGATGTTAAGACCATCCTTTTCCGTCCACCAGATTGGATACCTCAGGTTATGATTGGCCTCAGAACCGCTGTGGTATGCATCAATTCTCGCGTAGATAGGGGCGAGCCGGTGACACGAAACCTCCGCAGACTTTTTAGCTGAACAGATATGACGCCACCCGTACCCAGTTCTTAATAAAATGAGTGAATGAGCTAATTTCTCATAGCAGTCGGTGCTGGCCATGCTGGCGCCCACTAGTTCTGGATCTCTCGAAAGGTTAAAGCCTGCGAGTTGTTCGAGTGGCATTTTGCGGCTCATCGCCCAAATTCTCTTATCGCCCTTCAGTTGCTTCAACTCTACCAGAAGAGCGTCTAGACATTTCCCATTTGAGAGACTACCATTGATTGAGACACTGAGCGAAACATCAGAGGACAAAAGCTCTCAATCGTAGTCGTACACCACTGTTCTCCTTATCCAAGTCCAGTCGGCGGGTAGTAAACGCAAGTAGGAATAAGACTTGCAAATGATTCGTTTAACCGCTGCCTAAATCTAAAAAAAACATTTCCAATTTCAAATTACTTTTCCCATCCCCCAATGAAATTAACAGTGCGGCGCACAGTTCCACTGCCCTCATTCTTTTTGAGCTATAAGTTTTCAAACAAAATTATTCATATACCATTCAACACTTCATAAAGAGCTTTGAAAGAGTTTTCGAAACGCATTACAAAAACCACAAATGTGGCAACAACAAAGCAAACAAAGCAAACAAACGACCTATCAACCAGACGACCGGCTGCCCGATCAAATAACCGCGTCTGCCAGCTTGCCTAAGAGGACAGTAGCACACCCACTTGAAGTTAAATGAGAACATAAGTTAATTATACACATACATTGGGGTTAAAAAGGAACAAGTGTGCGTGTGTGTAAAGCATTGTTGTGTTATGATATGCAGTGATTGATAGAAGCATTGGAATTCCCAGCACACTTGAGAATTCAGCACAGGAATTCATAAACTGGCTACCAAAGCGGAGCATAATTTTATAGCCGCGGGCAGATAATCTACAAGAATGATAGAATACAAGATTGCGCCGATCAGAGAGGATTTTTGAGAATAACTTATGTGTGACGTCACACTGGTGCAATTGCGAGAGAGAAATGCCAAAACGTGAGCAAGAATGGAAGAAGAAGAAAAAATGTTGCAAGGAAAACGTAAACAAGTTGCACAAGTGTGACGTCATGCAAACCACGATTCTGTCAAATTCGTTAAGAGAGGAATAGCGGTCCGAGATCGGCGCAACCTTTGTATTCTCTCAATCGTGGATAATCTATATACCAACACACACATAGATACATACATTTATAACGGCAAAGCCACCAAAGCAATGAGAATGAACAATGAAAATTGAAAATCGAGCAAAAACGTAGTGGAATAAGGAAGAAAAATGAGAAATGCTGCTGCAGCTATTTAATTAATAGCATAACTGCCAAACAACAACAGCACTTGCAATACAATAACAACAACGGAAGGAATCAGTTAAAACAACAAATAAATACCGCGATTACCACTTCTAATGCTGTGTGTAATTATTGTGATATCATTTGTAAAGTTTTGTTGCGTACACACGCAAACAAACGCATACAAACCCTGTAGGGAAATGCACGAGCTTTCAACTGGTGCGCTTCTAGTAAATTTAGACCCACTACTGGTTCGCTTTGCATCCCTTTTTCTAAAGTCCTGAACCAACTCTAAAATCGACAGACGAAACAAGCAACATGATTTTTTCACCCAGAGAGTATTTTTGGTTTTTCTATGGTAACAATTTCAAATTGTTTTCAGAGAAATGCATTTTAAATTTGAAATCAAAATTTGGCTTAACCTGAGTGTGTGTTTATTGATCAGGTTCCAGAAGGCCCCAGGATGCGAGAATGTTAATACAAATTTTCCTTTTGTATTTCCAAACTATGGAAAAGCATCTGTGAAGTGCAGAATGAAAGCACTTTGAACGAAAAAACTGCCAAACAAATATGTATCTATTTAAATTAAACAAGTTCCAAGTATTTTTCCAAGCAAAAGAAATAATAAAAAATAAAATATTTTTTTTTAACGGGGGTATAGCTAGATACTATCGGACTGGTTCCTTTTTGGCGTTAAAGAACTTATACAACAATTTTGTTTAACTAGAACGGGACTTCTCTGCACGGAATGTATGTAAGTACGTATGCATGTGTGTATTTTGTATGAGCGTATCATTTTACTGCTTCAGTGCTATTTGTTCGCATTGTGGTGGCATGTGGCGTTGGCCGTGTTGGAAATCAAATAAATGTCAGTGTGGGCGAGTGAGCACCACAACATGACAGCACCACAACTTTGTCAATCATACAAACGTACGGACGTGTTTTCAACTCCGTGCGGAAATATTTTATTATTTGACTGAAGCCACCATTACACTGAAATAGAGCTCGGTAAAACTGGCAGAGTGATGTACATATTAACTTTCATTCCAAACGTACAGAAAAGAGTTAGTTCTAAGATGATTAAGTGGTCTCTAGAGAATACCAAAACCAACTCAAAGTTTCAAGGAACAAAAGCAGATGGAATTAAAGCCACAAGAAACTTGGCCTCATCGTTGCTCCAAATGAAAGCATATGATCGCCAGTAAACTGGCTATAGTTTACCAGATTGCTTTAACTCTATATATGGCGCTAGTATCGAGGCATTTTCGTCCGAGTTGGGTCATTCATAGAATTCATTTTGCTTAAGTGATTGTACCCTGCACACTAGTATCGACCAGAATTGCGTAAGCCACATTCACTTTTAGAAGAAAACGTAGGATCGCTACCAAACTTACCACTTTAAAAAGAGGGCTATATCCACATACAGCTCATACAGCTCGAGAGGACCAGATGGTAACTACCCTTGCTTCCTTTAGGTAGATATTACTCATATAGCCGCAGTCTTCGAAAAACTCTATAGAGTTCAGCTTCTATTGGGTCACATTCCCAGCAGATGGACCGAGGTTAAGGCCGTATTCTATAACGACGATAGGAGAAACTTAATAACTACTTTCGTCTTATCATGCATGAAGAAAATCTTGAATTAACACATTAAGGAAGTGAATCTTAAAGATCTGCCCTAAACAGGAACCAACCCTATCAACCAGGCACACATAACAACCCTACCAACAAAGCGATGAAAACTTTCCTTACTTATTCACCAATTTTTGGTTAAACTTGCGGCCGTTCACCAAGGCGAACGTGAAAACATGCCACAAATCACACAATATGTGGAGACGTAAGCAGAGCTTGACAAAATGCAGCAACAGTTTAACTAGTAGTTGGCAACAATTTATTTGAAGTCCCATTTATTTCTTACAAGGATATGTATTTTTCGCGAATTTATGCTGTGCTTGCTTTAATAATTTTGCCTGTTGTTGTTGTTTGCTTAAAACATGCTGCTGTCGCTGATGATGAGCAGACAAACAGATGGACTGACTGTTCTTTTCACTGACAGTCTCAACTCGCTTTTTCAACACAACGAAAGTGAAGGGTTGAATGCTTCAGTAATTGTATTTATGTATGTATGCATTTAAGTTTGTGTATATGATTTCAATCTTTTCAGCTTTTGGAGGAAGCAATCCGCCAATTTTGTGAAATTTCAAATTTAATTGAAATTCCAACATTTCTCTCACACTGACAAAATGTTTGGAATTCATTGATTTTTATTCTATCAAAATTTAGATGATGTGGTGCAAAAGAGTTTAAATGTGATCGACTCAAAAATGAATACAAAGGCGAACACGAAAACGAACACGGGGACAAAAGGCGAGGACGAATTACAGGGAGACAAACAACTACGAAGAGGAATACAAATATGGTCACGAAGGTCATCTCGAAACCGAACATTAAGGCGGATACGTGGACGGATACGAAAACAGACATGGAGATGAACGTGAGGACGACGTTAAAACCGAAGACGAAAACGGATATGAACACGAAACCTAAGAGGAATACGCATATGCCGCCGAAGGCAATCACGAACACGAAAACGAACACGAATACTAAGACGAAGACTAATACTAAAACAGAGACGGATATGAAAACGAACAAGACAGCTACGAGGTGAGGTGAGCATCATACATTCATCTTCATCTCGGTCTTCATCTTTATGCTTATCTTCATCTTCATCATCTTTATGCTTATCTTCATCTTCATCATCTTCATCTTCATCTTCATCTTCATCTTCATCTTCATCGTCATCTTCATCTTCATCTTCATCTTCATCTTCATCTTCATCTTCATCGTCATCTTCATCTTCATCTTCATCTTCATCTTTATCTTCATCTTCATCTTCATCTTCAAAAAAATGTTTTATTGTGTGTTTCTGAGCATAAAATAAAACTCATGAAATAAGGATATTGTATGCCGAACGTCTTAATCGCTCTCTGTTACTTTTCTCCTGAAGATGTCGTCGTCATTTTTCAGAGCAGCTTCATACTAGGAGTGGTTATTACAAACCGATACTCCCAGTATGTCACCCACCAACGTACTGCTCTACAGCAGCTTCCGGGTAAATATTTAAACATTTCATTTTGATTTTTTGCACAACAAATGTTTAAGCAAATATTTATTTGCCCGAAAGCATTCCTCAAACCTTACGCTTACGAATTTCCTTCACAGCAGATTTAACTGCAACTTACAACCGAGATCACTGCACTTAAAGGCATCTCTGGCACTTAAATAAGTGTCGTATAACACAACAACAAAGGTACTCAGTGGCCATGATTATTGCCACGCTTGCAGAAAATTTTCACAAATAAATAAACTTAAAATTCACCAGTTTTCTTTACTCTGCTGCTCTCCTTCGGCCGTCAGTTGCATTGCCAGTTATTCGCTACTTTATGCAATTCCGAGCATTACAATTCCATAAGTTAATATTTTATTTATCAATTTTCAAAGTGCATAATAGCATCTGCAACTTAGTAGCAGCAGCAGCGGCAGCAGAAATGTAGCAACCTGCAAGCGAGCCATGTTGCAATGTGGCAAGCAGGAAAACAGCATACAAACAAATTTTATTTATTCATGAATTTATGCAATTTCAAATGCATACCTTTGGTATAAAGCAGAGCTGCAATCCTTGCCAGGTAGGGGATAGAAGGATGTATGTAGAAGACGAAAAGCAAGAAGTAGCAGAACTATTCAGGCAGTCAGTCAGTAAATCAATACATCAAAATGTTAAGCTTGTGGGAGGTGTTGCTCTTGTTGCATATCATTGCGATTTGTGGCAGCTTGTGGCATGGCAAATTGTTCATGTCAGTTCCCATTTAGACAAATCATACAAATGCAGTGGCAGCAGAGTAGAAAGCAACTGCAACAACAACAGCATTGAAACACCATCAAGCAGCAAGAATGTATGCCGGTCGGGCGAGGGTGAGTGCTCAGAGAAAATCCAAAGTGTCTATGTGGCAAATCATTATAAGCCATTGACAGCTGACAGTTAAAGCTACACGTTGCTGCTGTCTTGGTAGGAGTATACAGCAGAAAGATTTAAATCAAGCAAATTTCCAAGAGAAAGGCAGCCGATATAGAGTTCTAATGTAGCCATTGCCTCAGGTCATGTTGCAACATCAGCAGCAGTAGTAAGTAGCAGCTACAGCAGCAGTGGAAGCCTCGGCAGTCATCTTGCCACTTAGTAGTGTTGATGTCCAGCATAGTTGCTTAGGAATTGAAATGAAATTGCTCGATTAATGGTAAGTGATTTGGCTCTGAGACAGTCAGTCAATCGGTTGCAGCGAGTTCCACTGCAGAGCAATAGCAGATTTGGTATGTAAATTTGTACAGTCCTCTGATTCTTTGGTATGTGCTAGAATTTGTATATATATTGCTACTGGGGCTGCTAGCTTTACAAAGGCATAAATAATTCATTTTGCTCAATCAGTTCTCAATCAGCCTGATATCTGGCAATACTCAATTGTTAATAGTTGACAACTAGTGTCATATTGGTGATATCGATGAGATGTTCAAAGCAGTGGCAAGTGAATACATATACTGAATGTATGTATAAGTGAGCATTTAAAAAAATACATATTGCTACCTAAAAGTGAAAAGTTGCCAAGTCCACTTTTTTCAAAAATTTAGTTTTTGATGCAGAATGACAGATAATGCCAAACTGCATCTATTTTTCGTCACTCCTGAACAGTTTCAAAAAATTTACTTGTTACCTTTTCACCTTTAAAGTATGTATATTAACCCAATATGAGCATTAAGTATGTCTGGACTACGCCCTCGGTTATTAAATGTTCGCCCAGGCGCTTTTTGCGTTTGTGCATCAGTGCGGGACACCTTGTGGTAGCTCAATCTTCAGTGTCTTGTCAGAATGATTCTTAAGTTATACCTCGATAAGCTCATATTACTTATATACCTTAAAGCGCTTTAGGTCAAATGTGCCTTAAAGTGCTTTGGAAGATGCACTCTAAGCATTTGCTAGCCTGGTTTTGCATTGCAAGTCTCGATCATATAATGACCAAAAACGTAACTCGGTAGTATCTGTTATTGAGGCCACTCTGCCCATTTGGCTCGAGAAGTCCCAAACCAGACATGCCTTACTCCGCAACCAGTTATTGAACTCCCATTTTCGGCCATTAAAGCCAAGATCAGATAACTTGAGGCACTGCTAATTGGTCAGTTCTTAAAGTACAAACACCTGACTGTGATGGGCATATGCGACAACCATATTTACTCTTCCTGCCTTGAAGGGGACGATCGTAGAAAAGGTAGATTTAAAACTGCCTAAAATGGAACACGAAAACCGCACAATGGACGAAATGTACTCTGAGCGCCTGAATTCTTTTAAAATCGATTTTTTGATACTTAAATACATGATAAAAACATAACAAGGTAAAACCATTGAGAGGCAGTCTGACGTTTGCCAACAATATAATTTTAAAATCAAAACTCAAACTCACACACACATTCTCTTTTTCAATCTCAAACAACAACAATTGTGAACAATTTAATTTTTATACCCGAGCGCACTTGTGCACAAGGGTATATTAATTTTGTTCACATAACGGTTGTTTGTAACAGCCAAAACGAATCGAGAAGATATAGACAAATGTATACATAAATGATCAGGATGAAAAAAGAAATCGATTAAGCCATGTCTGTCTGTCCGTCCGTCTGTCCGTGTACACGATAACTCGAGCCAAAATTGAGATATCTCAACGAAATTAGGTATGTAGGTTTCCCTTAATCCAAGGTAGGTTGGTATTGAAAATTGGCGAAATCGGACTTTAACCACGCCCACTTCCCATATAACGGTAATTTCCAGAAATACGAAAACTGCGATATTTTAGTAACTACTG